TGATTATCAGGGCATAATCTTTCTGGTTTTGGTTAGCCGATGCAAGGACAAAATTACTTGGCGTTATGTAATATTTGGATACGCACATAGCACTGCTTAGTTTACGGTACCTACCCRTAAGGCCTATATTAAGTTAGTTTTTTAAATAGTTAAATTAAATAAATAAACAAAACAGTCACTCGAAATTCAGATTTACAGTACCTACGACATGATTAAAAACACGCGTGTATTAAATATGTGTTTAGTCTAATCTAATGTAAACAGCCGTGGTGGTGACCAACAACAACGAGTTCAACGAGCTCACATATTATTATTATTATTATGGCTGGTCGTTTCACGTTTATAGTTTCAAATAATTTATTAATAATATCCTTTTCGACGCAGCCGGTCGAGTGACCGAACGACATTGCATTATTTTGGTCGCGTTCCAAAGAAGAAAAAAAAAACAATCCAGCTCTTAATATTGTTGTGTATATACAGAGTGAACAAAATATAAATTCGTATCGTATATCACGTGTTTCTATGATTCGAATATAATTATTATACGCTACAATAAGTCGTAGCCCGTAGGTACTCATAAYCAGGTACTATAAGAACGGAATTGATTTATAATATAATGCACCCCACGCTTATATTTTASTATTTTACCTTGATAAAATATTAGTCATAGCTATTATAATTCTTATTTTCAAAGGTCAGCGGTTCCTCTCTACTTATTGAACAGGCTCGTGGAGTGCTGCAAGCCTATAAATTACAATAAACTACCATACCTACACAATATATAGCCAGTCCATGACTGATCGCGAGTAAAAGATATTATATTTTCGTTGTGTTATAATATTATAGTATAGTATTTATTAAATTGAGTTGAATGAATTAATTTAACCTTAGTAAAATATAACCTTAATATGTGTCTCCTTTAGATAGGTATAGCCATGTTGGCTGTCAGGCTGCTTAGTCTGGTTGTATGATTRTATAGCGTAACGTGATGAATTTATATAGGAGGGGATATTATATCCGCTGTATAATAGTCGCCTATTATATTACTGGTAAATAACATTATATTCTAAGAATGTGACTAAAAGAATGTATGTGATAGGAGGGCAAGCAAAATTCCAGGGGGCTATAGCCCTCCTAGACGCTAGACCCCTCTCTTCTAYGCCTATGTCTAAAATCGATAATAAAACGACATCCCGGGCGGTCGTACGAGTATCATAGATGTATTGCTGTGATCGGTGAATATTTACATACCCAAGGTAATCAAAGTTTTCTTACACGGAGACATTTTTAATAATTATATTCTATATTTTCAATTGCGAAGCCTGAAACTTATGTGGTGGCTTTTTTCTTTTTTCTTTTTGATTCTAAATTTACAATCTGTTCTTATAGCTAGAACAATAAGCAAATGTGTACAGAGAATTTACATACGAATCTTTTGAGGGAAGAAGCCACCCATTAGTGACACTACCTATTTTGAGTTTTTATTTTATTTTTATATTTTGGCTTATTAAGTTAAGCTATTTTAGATTTGAGGTAGAAGGTCATGACACCATCTTCGCTTGAGCCGTATGTGGTGAATAAAAACGATTTTGATTTTATTGCTAATTGGTTATTTCCAAGTGGCTCATGTTATTATTTATTTAATGAGATTAATAATAAAGTCCAATAACATGATCCAAAACGTATTGCCTTAGTCGTTACGTCTATATAGTTTCTAAAAAGTCGTTTTTGGACAGAACAATATTAGTGATTATTCTCCAGAAAGATAATTATTATTTTTATTACTAATTTTACATCTGAGGCCGAGTATTTTGGACGCGTGCGCGCGTTTCATCCGATTTAATGAGTAAGATTCATTTAAACGAGCCATATATTATTATTATATTTAAAACGTTGGTGCCAAGTCATCGCGACCGCTTCTCACGGTTGAGACGGTACACATGCAGGAGCAGCGATCGCGTAATAAACGTCAAGCGGTTCATCGTCGTCCCGATGAGGATTCTATGCGCCTTCCTCCTCTCCAGCTCCCCTCAGCCCCACCACGACAGATCCTACCGAAACCCTCGCCAATGCCCCAGTGCGCACCACCCGTTGGACGAGACGACCCGGCGGCGTCAGCGGCTCCCAACACGGCGCACACAAAATCCGTTCACTCGAAAGAAATCGTGTACGCGTGTGACGCGACGAATCAGACCACTGTCCGACTCGTTGCCGGCAACAAGTAGTTCCTCGATAAATTAAGTATTATACCGTGTACGCGCTTAAGTCTATATCGCAGACCCACAGGTAATATTATTATAATATAATTATTGACTATTGGGTGTACAATTTGTGTAACTGAGATTAACGTGATAAGGATAACGCATCTCATAATAATAATAATGTAATATTACCTAWATAATGCAACCATTGTAATATTATATTTAAATAAATGTGCAACGTTGCACCGATCGTTGTACGCATATCTTCAGCTTATATATACGTAGTACATTATACCTATACCTATCCAGCGTAGAAAATATTGTTGTTATTTTATCACTTGGGTAAGTATTTATGTCACGTTTGCTACAGTGTTATTCGCACATGTATAGGAACACAACACCTGTGCGGCTCGCGGTATAAATAATTTCACCGTGATATTTTATATTTACCTACGACGTCAGGCCGATTCGTATACAACGAAAAATAACATTATTTTACATACGCATACAACTCGACGACTTTAAATGAAAACAATTTAACAGAGCTAAACATCATACAATATTAATTTGGCTGCAGTTACCGTTAATACCTAATCGTGCGCGCGATCGTTTTTGTCGGCAGACTAGCTGTTGATATTTGTTGATCAGTGCAGATGACCCATAGAGCGTTGGCGTCCAAAGAAGAAGAACACAGCAGCGTCGATTGGATCGACCAAAACGACGGTCATCAACAAGTGAGTACTTAGGTATTTCAAACGTCTACTAACATTTAAATTCAAACCAATGTTCTGATGGTAAATTTAATATTTTAACGTCCATACATTCGACGTACGTTTCTAATCATTCTTATCGTGTTATCAGTTATGTTTCCCATAAATATTAAAGTATTAACACTTATTTTTTTTTTAGAGACCAAACCATTATTTTTAATTTTAAAGTTGAGTTTCTTATGCTAAATTAATATAGGTACAACAGTTGCTTATAAATTATAATTAATATGAAGTCGTTTTTCGAAACTATATTAGCTATTGATTTATAATGTTTCAATTGTTCTTTCTTCGAAAAATCATGACTTTTATCGAATATTTGCATAGTAGATTTTATAATTATATATATTTAAAAAGTGTAATTCAAATACTGTGTCTTCGATTTTAAAGGTAATAGGAAATATTTCGAACGCATTACTTCTATAGTTTGATTCTGGGTTTTGTTATTGCCTAAATGATGTATAAATATATCTGTTTTAAATAAATTATAATTTTTAACTTTTTTTATCGGTGTATTTGCAGTAAAATAAAATTGTCTTAAAAAGAAACTACTATTTTTGTGACTGGATTAAGATTGCTTTATTTTTTTCTGAGAAACTTTGATACTTACAGTTTTTTGATATCTTCAAAATTTACATTGTTAGGATAGTCGAAAGTTTAAAAGTTTAAAACTGTTTTTAAATGTCCCCATAAAAAATAGTCCAACGGATATATATATATTATATCAGATGATCTAGGGGGTCATTATACTGGACCATATGTCCTCATTCATTAATGGTCAAAAGTTTGGTTAAGGTATTCTCAAACAACTATTGAATTATGGGCATGAGCCTCACTTGTTAGAAAAATAAATTACCTAATTTAAAGCTTTCGGCTGTCATAAAAATGTCAATTTTTAAGATATCAAAAGACTGTAAATATCAAAGTTTCTCAGAAAAAATAAAGCAATCCAAATCTAGTCTCAAAAATAGTGGTTCCTATTTAAGACATTTTTATTTTACTATGCATGCACCGATGAAAATTGTTAAAAATTAGAATTTGGTGTAACCTTTGGTTAGAAATATGACATACAAAGAACAAATTTATTAATTTCGAAAATTTCGAAAATTTAAAAAAAAATTTGAGTGATCCAAATTTCATGGATCTCCTTCGTTTATTCCTTCGAGTAATAATTGATTAATTTGAATATAAAATTTGTAAAAAAATTGTAAAAATGTATTATGGTCAGTGACAAAGGTACAGTAACTATACTGTATAAAACATATGAGTACTGGTGTAGAACTCCTATATGCTGTTATGATATCATAGTTACCTAATAGGTACCTATTTAAATGTATAAATTACTTATGTAAAACAAATAAAAATGCTTATTTATGCACTACTATAGATTGCAAGTGTGTAATAATTACTAATTCTGGGAACGATAAATAAAATAAATTAAATACTAACTGAATTAAACTATATCATGTAATTTGAATATAGTTGATAAGAGCTGAAATTATTTGTTTTTTGACCTTATTACATTTTAATTATTATATCATCGTAAATTGTCAGTTGCTATGAAATTGTGGATATCGTAGCATTCAACAAAAATCGTGTTACAAAATAATAATAAAAAAACTTATATGGTGACAGCTATGGAATTAAATCCATGGGCCTGCCTAATTAACCATACTACATTATAACCTTGGTTATGATGATAATTCATATTAAATATTTTTTTTATTCTAAGCCAATTCTGTATTAGTTTTACAATGAGTTATTTTTTTGTGAAGATACTTAATATCAGAAATATTGCTTCAATATTGAGAGTTTTTTTTTGGTAGAAAATGTAATCTAGTTTTTCTTAAAGTAGGGGGATGGCCAAAAGTAAAAATTAATTTCCAATTATTTCGAATAATATTATTATACATATAAAATAATAACATTTAAGTAATAGTGAATGTTTTAAGTTCCTATTCGGACTACTATTAATATTTTTCAAAGACCTGTTTGATAAGAATAACGAAATTACAAAAATATCTTATACATTTGAATTTCTAATATCTTGGAAAATTTAATTTTGTTCACTCGTCCATTGCATATAGCAGAGGTAAAGATCTCTTTAAAAAATAAATGACTAGTCCACGCTCAATTTTTGTAGCTTGGCTTGTGCGCTGTTGAACCTTTTCTCTCTTTTTTAATGTGTACGTAGTTTCAGGATTTTTCATTTTATTTTAAGTGGTTTATTCTGAATGAAAAAGTGTATCACTTATTTAATATTAAAATGTTTTTATTATTTTACAACTTTTATAAACATTATGTATTTATCACTATACAATATATCCTAATTGGAGTATGTATATAATATATATATTTTATATATATATATAGAGATTTATTTTTAAATGGATTACCTCTATTCTTTTTTTTTTTTTTTTAAACATTTTATTGATTGAAATTATGCAATATTTTATGAGTGTGTTTTTGATATTTTCTTTAAAAAATTAGATTTGTTTTGAGCTGTTTACTGACATTTTAATTTTTCAACTTTTTTTTTTTTTTTTTAATTGATGTTAAAGGCTTCAACAGCTAGGTCATTAGCCTGTGGTTGAGGTTACATTATCATTAATAATTAAATATACAAGTAAATAGTTAAGTTCTAAATTAAGATTACATTACATTTGTGGTATATGTGGATTTTACAGTGATATTGAATATTTACATTGTAATTTTAGCAGTGTAGTTCTATCTTAGCATTAAATTTTTGTGTCTATGCCGATGGATTTGAAGAAGGTATGGATCAAGTGTGTGTTGTGTTCTCCTAGAGCTTCCTCCATCGTTGAAGGTTGGTTGAGGATGTTTCTTGCGTTGACATATAGCGGGCAGTCTAGGACTGACCTCTATTCTTATTTACCTATCTAAGTAATATTTCTGAAAAATGAAGATGATTGTTTGCAGTGATATAACTATCGGAATTTTAGGTGATTCGGTAAAAAATACTGACTATCTTAATAACATACCATAATGTGATTTCATATTCTGATATACTCAGATATTTAACGATGCAAAATCATGTAGGTATTGTAAAATGTAATATAATGGATACTTACTCTACATACTACAATGATAATTGATAACCATAATCAAGACGGAAATATTAGCGTTTGTAATACTTTGATATCACTAGAATGTAGGTATAAACTGAATCTAATAATTTAAATATGCTTAGGTACTCTGATTGCAAATGATGATGCTATTATAGATCTTATTGAAAGATGTTCATAAATTATATATCCAAAACAAAAATTTCTGAACATATGAATTATTTTTTAATCAACAATTTTAAAACAAAAAAATAATTAAACTCAAGGAATTTATAACACATGGACAAATATTAATTTTATTAAACAAAAAGAAAATATGTCAACTAATTTACGTAAAAGACCATTTTTATAGGGATTTAAAAGTTAAAAACAATATAATATAAAGAAATGAATTGAAAACTCTAATAAAAAAATGCTAAAATACTTCATTATCAAGCTAAGATTATAAAATATGCAGGTAAAGACACAAAATCAAAATGGAACATAATTATTGATGTGATAGGCAAAACAAATTAATAAAACAATAATGATTAAAAAGGTAGTTAATAAAAAGTGTCATGATCATTGATCAATGAACACGAATGAAAAATATATTAGCGATGTATTTAACAATTTCTTTGTAAATATCGGAAGAAATATTGAAAATAATCTAAGATAAAAAGATTATTAAGAAAAATCGTGGAAAGATCTAAATAATAAATTTTAAATTTTAATACAACATATTGGGTATACAGTAGTATACAGTGTATAGACTATAATAGCCAATAGGTATGTGTTTGTATTGTTAAAGTATAAATATACTATAATAAACTTATAATAAATTATTATTAAATATACATTTAAATTTTAAATTTAATATTCTTAAATTTATTTTTGAACCTTTGAGTTGTTATTTTAAATTGTTAAAAATATATTTTTATATAAAAAGAATAATGCTTCCATTAAGCAGATAAAAACTTCGTCAAGCCTTCTTTTTTTTCTGAATTTACTTTTCGATTTCAGGCATTAAATATCTGATACAGCTTAAAATCTTATAATTTATTTAAGTTATGCCTGATTAAATGGCACTAAATTTATATTTTATAGATGTTTGCACAGCTTAACATCATCGTTTCAGTTGGGAACTGGGCAGAGATCATTTTTAAAAGTTATTTAGGTAAATAAGCATGTTAATTAAATGTAATTATGTACCATATCTGAATACTCGGCTTCGTTCGTGAAAAAAAACCATGAAATTATTAAAATGGCCCACAGAAATCTGAATTGGTGAATCTGAGTTACTATAGTATAATGAACTGAGTACTAACAGTGACATACTCAGATATATTTATGAATAAACTATTGTAATTATTCACATAACTAAAATTACATGTGAAATGATATTAAATTAAAGATAAACTGATGATACAAAACTCATTGATGTATAGTTTATAATAAACTAAGAACTTTGAAAAATTATATAGGTTAATTAATCAATAAAAATATGACTTATCTTTGGTAATGTTAGTAGGTAATATTTTTGTTGAATTTGGCCTCGTTTAAATATATTTAAAAATTATTTTACTTATTAATAATATTTAGGTATTTAAGTCTACAAACTATGTACGTAATATTTGTTATATTAATATTTAAAACACGTGAATTAGATTTATAAAAGCAGAAAAATTATGCCTTTTTTTATTGGTTTTCGAGAAAGTCGATTTTGGTGATTGAGATTTAGCACTATGCATTTATGACATAAAAAAAAATGTATTTGGGAATTTGGGATATTAATCTACGTTTGAACGTTACTATTTATGAAACACTAGATTATTTTTATATCATGTTTGGTTAAGTATTACATATTGAAATTATTATTATTTTTATAATAATACTATATTT